TAAAAATGATTGTATTTGTGATGATAATACACTAATGGTTTACAGCTATGAATTTAGCCTTCAGTGTCTTATCTTCTCAGATGTCATCTATTCAAGATTCCATCTAAAATAATGTTCACTTTTGTTGATCAGAATATTTGAACTAGAGCAGTGGTGGCAAACCTATGGCACGGGTGCCAGAGGCTGCACTCAGAGCCCTCTCTGTGGGCACGCACGCACGCCATCACCCCAGCCCTATCATCCCCTGTGGCCCCCTCCTCACCAGCAGCCCCCCTGGAGGAGAGTCACCCCGGGCACAGCCTGTGCAGAGCAGCGCAGCCAAGAACATGGCAGCCAGGCCGTGGGGACAAGAATCCGCCCTCACACCCCATTGCATACAGATGATGCTGCAGGGCACGGACAGAGAGTGTGGCCACCATGATGCTGCTGGGCCGCCTGGGCAATCTGCTGTGGTGGGCTGTGGAGGTGGTGGGTGGCCCTGTGGCCAGAAGATGCGGGGATGGGGCAGGGGCAAGGCGGTTTTGGGCACTCGGTCTCTAAACGGTTCGCCATCACTGAACTAGAGAAAAACATACAAAGACAAGTGCTGGTATTTATTTTCTGTAAGGAATGTACAGGGCTGTAGATAAACCTAGATATAACCCTGATAGTTTTTAGATATCAGATGAGAACAAACTCCTGCAGAAAGCAACCAATATACAGATTTTCTTTTTTCTGTCATCACTCAGCTAAAGTACTGTAGATGGGAAACAAACATCTGCCCTGTATTTATGGCATAGGATTAATGCAGGACCTGACCTGAATCTGCCAAGGTTCATCTCTTTGTACTAACACACAACAACTGACTGTAGTTTGTGCTTCTAAGTTGTACCATCTATGCCAATGTGATAGACTGAAAATGTCTTTATGCTGAACATACAATATTTTTTTTCACTCCCAAACATAGGAAACTTTCAGATGGTTTGTTTTTACCCTTCATAAAATACTTCGACATTTCGCTTAGTGGAGTTGTCTAAGAACAATTTCACCCCATTATTGCTTTCATTTCCTTTCCCTCAAAAAACATGTGAAGGTAATTCATGAATGTCTTCAAACCCGATGACCTCAAATCTCTGAAAATCGGAAATAAAAATCATAATCAGGCTCCCAAGCTCTCACTGGCCCTGCAGTAACAAAAATCTCCCCACAACCACTTGATTAAAAAAAAAAAAAAAAGGAAAGTGGAAGAAATTGCTTGAACTTGCTGTGTGCATCTGTCTGGTTTTATATACACGTACACGTACAAACAGAAATCCCAGCATTTCCTTCCTATAAGGCCGGGATTCCCAATCCCTGGGCTACGGCTCACTACTGGGCCATGGCCTATTCGGAATTGGGCCATGTGGGCAGCGGGCTAGTGTGCAAACATGCATGCAGCTCAACTTGTGCAAGTTGAGATGCACACACATGTGTGCACGTGCTGGCCTGCTGCTCACACAAACCGAACTGTGTATGTGTGCAGATGAGCACCAGCCTGCTACTTGCGCGGCCTGATTCCCCTCCCCCCCCCCCACAGCTGGGCCGCCAAACCCAAAAGGTTGGGGACCGCTGCTACAAAGGGCTGAACAGGCCGCAAGCCACATTTGCCCTTTGCAAAATATGAGGTAAGTGGCCAAGAGTGTAGTGAGGCTGATGTTCCTGTAAATCAGTGTTTCTCAACCTTGACAATTTTAAGGCATGTGGACTTCAACTCCCAGAATTCCACAGCCAGCTTTGCTGGCTGTGGAATTCTGGGCGTTGAAGTCCACATGCCTTAAAATTGTCAAGGTTGAGAAACACTGCTGTAAATGAACTCAATTCAACTGTTCATTCTAACGACTTTTATCTTCATAGGTAACGTCACATATGTAATCTTCATATGTAATGTCACATTATTTTACTGAAGCTTGATTGATTTATGCAGCAACTTGAAAGCCTACCTATATCTGATTACCTACTTTTATAGAGGTGGGCTGCCTTACCATATTAATACAAGAAATAAATACACTCTTAAAATGGTAATATTTTTTTCTTTAATTGTTCTGGCTAGCTAAGGGGATGAGAATTCTTTAGCTTATTGCAATGTTTACCCAAATAATTTTTTGACTGATTTAGAGATCATTCTACAAAATACAAATGCTTTGCAAAACCAGGCATAAATGCAAAGCATGGAAACATAGAAACATATTATTCACATAAACCTCCAGCTGTTTTCAACAAAGGAGCAAGGAAGACAAGCAAATGTACTTTCCCTCTTTTTAAGTTGTATTCATATATGCTATTGTTAATTAAGATCATAGCAGTTGTAGACATTTGTATGATATCAAAAATGAATTTAAAATCTGTACTTTATGCTTGGAACATGATATTGTTACTGCTATAACAATGAAGGCAGCTAAAGAGAAGAACAGTGCCCTTGGAAGTCAAAGCATTAGATAAAAAGAGCTATAATCACATTTCATACCATTTGGCACCATCTGCCAAGACTTTCCATGCAAAGGGAAGAGGCAGCTGATGCTTCTCTATGATGGAATTTGGGAGCTGGCAAGCAGTAAGGGTTCTTCTGAATGAATGCCACCGATCATGCTTTGCCAGCAGGTGTTGCTATCTACCATGGGAACAAGTAGCTTATGGCAGCTGCATTAATTGAAATTGTTGATATTGTCTATAAAATTTAGAAAGTGTGTGCTACAACTGATATTTCACAAGCCAACCAACTTGTCATTTGTTAAGCATTGTGAGCTACAACCATCTCTTCTGGATGTAAAATTATAGTGTTAATGTCAGATGTTCCCTCTCCTTTTTCTTCATCCTATATGCAATGGGTACAGTCCTTGATAGGATGGGTCAGCCCAAATATGAGCGAGTTCAATTTGCCCCTTGTGTCCTTTCAGTACCGTATACTGTGCTGGCCTTTGTGCTCGAGTAGCTATCTCCAATGGCAATGGCCTTGCATTGGCTGGGCAGAGGCTGCCCACTCGTTTTTGCAGGCAGGACCCAGGGAAATCTCAGCTCTTAAATCAGTGGTTCTCAACCTGTGGGTCGGGACCCCATTTGGGGTCGAACAACCATTTCACGGGGGTCGCCAAACAACGCAGTTGGCCATTTTTTCCCCCTTTTCCTTAGCTGTGCTACTCCCTTTTATTCTATTGGCTTTTGAAAGCCAATAGAATAGACTCTCTTGAACAGAGTCTAATTCTATTGGCTTTCAAAAGCCAACAGGAATTGTCCACGCTGTCTCTGCCCTGCTGAGCCCGCCAAAAGTCCCATTCTGCAAACGGTGCTGCACCAGTTGTCCTCGACTTACAACTGGTTAAGTAGTCCTTGACTTATGACCAGTTGGGGGTCGCAGCATTAAAAAAGTTGAGAACCACTGTCTTAAATCTATTAGGTGCTGTTTTGCACTGTCAGAAATAAGTATATATGAATGGTGATTGTCATGGGATGAACTTTGTGCACTGAATATTAAGAGTTATTTGATGTTCTTTTGTAGGGATGACTATGAGTTGTCTGTCAGTGGGAGTTTCTGATATATTGTTGGCAATATAATTGATCCATTGTCAGAAAAGAGCTATTTTCTTTCTATCTATCTGTCTGACTGTCTGTCTGTCATCCATCATCTTTCTCTAATTCTCTCTCTCCATCCATATTTCTATTTATTCATTTATTTTATATGACCAACTGTCTCAAGTGACTCTAAGCAGCTAACAACAATAAAATAGCCAGCATCTACAAACACAAAATAGAGAATTGGCAGCCAAATTTTTCTTTAGAAATCAATGCAAATATAATACAAATATTTCAATAAAAACCTATTTGTTATTTGCCTAGTGGGCATCCTTCCCTTTCAAGGAAATTCATATATTACACTGTAATAATGTTTAACCCAATGACTTCTAAATTTGCTGAGACTAAAATTCTCAAAAACGCCACCAACACATCTAGAGCAGGGGTCCACAACTCCCGGTCCATGGACCAGTACCGGGCTGCGGCATGCTAGCAATTGATCCACACAAACAAGCAAAGCCCCATCCATGGGATGCAGGCAGCACACAAAACCACGCCCCCTCCGGCCCACGGAAAAACTTCTCTCCACGGAACCAGTCCCTAATGCCCAAAAGGTTGGGGACCTCTGATCTAGAGGATACCTAGTTAGTGATGGTTGACATAGAATATTTTGTGTGGGCTAACTGGGTTAGACCTGTCTCCAAGTTATTTTGTACAACTGAATGCACAGCACATAAGCCTAATATTCTTTTATGTGCTTTGAAAATACAGAAAGAGGATGGTCCATATCTCAAACAAAACTGATTGATCATATTTGGAATTACCTGTTAGGGCTTATTATAATTAAGTGTAAACTATAAACCTTAACAAAGCACTGAGTTCAAGAACAATAATTTCTTGACTATTGTGTAGTTTATTTCCTATACTTATCTATGCTTCCATGTTTCAAGTGATCACTTTCAAACATTGCTTAAGCTTTCTGTTTTGGGAAGAGCAATTAGCAAGCAACATATGTTATCTTAAGCTTGTAACAACTTATTTAAAAAGATTCCCTATTATATCAGTTAATCCTCTTTTTTATTAGTGTGTCTGTCTTTGAATGTAATATGAATGTAAAATGAAAAAGCCACTGAACTGAACTGAAACATTTCTCCCAATAAATTTGAGAATATTTTCCCTTTATTTTTGTTTTTCTTTTGTGTTATTGCCAAGGGAAATATCTGGATTCTGACTGATACTAGAGAAAAGACTATATACATGTGAGTTTTTCTCTCCTTAACAGCGCTTGGGAGCATTCTTGCATAATCCACCAAGATTTGAGAATGTTATTAAACATTAAACAAACTCTGCATGTTTAAGCAAGGTTATGTAGGTAGATGCTGAGCACTTGCAGGATTAGGCCATAGACAAAAGACTTTTCTGAGTCACATTTATTGTAGCAACAGACCATAGCAACAGATTAACTTCATAGCAATGGTAAAGTGCTCACACGGTTTTCCTGAAAACCAGAGGGCAGAATTGCTTGTTCTACTTTTCAGTCTTGTTTTATCCATGGGCTGCACTTCCAGCCAAGCAATTATCGAGAAATCGGCATCCAAGAATCGGCATCATGACAGAGAAACCCCAAACCAGGTAACACACTCTTAAATCTTCTCTCTGCTTCCACTACTCGTGAAAGTGTTTAATTTCCTTTTACATTGGAGATCACTGGAAAATGTGAGAGAAGGTGGCAATGTCCGTTTTGTTTATTTATGTACTTGTGGAGCACATTGAAGACAAATAACACGCTGTGTCCTTCTTGCACCTGATTTCTAATAGGAACAACCTGAGAAATTATCTTACCCCCCATCACATTGACCCATCCCACCCAGTCAGCCAGGGAAAGTATGTTACAGATCCTATTGACTAAAACATACAATTGGCATGGTCCAGAAAGAGAGCCTTCTCTGCCATTGCCTTCTTTGGAATATTCTCCCCTCAGAAGTGAGTCAGGCTCCGCTCTCCTCATCTTTCAGAAAGGCGTGAAGACCTCCAACTCGTGTGTAGCATGCAACCCGTATGTGTGTGTGGTTAGCAGTTTGAAGGCGCTCCCTCTGTCTTTTAGCTTTTAATTTATACTATCTTTGTTTTTACTGTAGTTGGTTCCCATTTTATTGACGTGCTTTATAGGGTGGTGTGGTGGCTCAGTGGTTAAGACGCTGGGCTTGTTGGCTGGAAAGCCGGACATCCACATTAAAGACCCAAGCTCCACCTTATGGGGTGAACCCCCGTCCTTGCCCCAGCTCCTGCCAACCTAGCAGTTGGAAAGCATACAAATGTGAGTAGATAAATAGGTACCACTTCAATGGAAAGGTAACAGCGGTCCGTGCTGTCACACTGGCCACAAGACCATGGACAGCGCTGGCTCAGTGGCCTTTAAACAGAGATGAGCACATCCCCTGTAGTTGGCAATGACCAGTGGAATAAAACCGGCAGGGTCTCCTTTGACTTTATCTTTTACTGTATTTTTTATGGGTTTTTTTAATGCTTTTAGCTGTAAACTACCCAGAGTCACTCTGAGAGTGAGATGGGCAGTATCTAAATTTGACAAATAAATAAATACCCCTAAGAATCCCCCAGGTAACTTCCAAATTAATTAATTCCACTAAAAAATCCTACAGTACAGGTAGTCCTCAACTTTCAACAGTTCACTTAATGACTGTTTGAAGTTACAACCACACTGGAAAAAGTGATTTATGACCCTTTTTCGCACTTATGACCATTGCAGCATCCCCATGATCACGTGATTTACATTCAGATGCTTGACAACTGACTCACATTTATGATGGTTGCAGTATCCCAGGGTCATGTGATCACCTTTTGTGACCTTCTGACAGGCAAAGTCAATGGGGAAGCCCTATTAATTTAACAACTGTGTTGTTGTTGTTGTTGTTGTTGTTATTATTATTATTATAAAAAAGTTGGAAGGGACCTTGGAGGTCATCGAGTCCAACCCCCTGCTCAGGCAGGAAAACCTACACCATTTCAGACAAATGGCTGTCCAGTCTCTTCTTAAAAACTTCCAGTGTTGGAGCATTCACTGCTTCTGGAGGCAGGTTGTTCCATTGGTTAATTATTCTAACTGTCAGGAAGTTTCTCCTCAGTTCCAGGTTACTTCTCTCCTTGATTAGTTTCCATCCGTTGCTTCTTGTCCTGCCTTCAGGCGCTTTGGAAAATAGCTTCACTCCCTCTTCTTTGTGGCAGCCCCTGAGATACTGCTATCATGTCACCCCTCGTCCTTCTCTTCGTTAAACTAGACATATCCAATTCCAGCAACCATTCCTTATATGTTTTAGCCTCCAGTCCCCTAATCATCTTTGTTTCTCTTCTCTGTACTCTTTCTAGAGTCTCAGCATCTTTTTTACATCGTGGTGACCAAAACTGGATGCATTATTCCAAGTGTGGCTTTACCAAGGCATTGTAAAGTGGTATTAATATTTCACGTGATTTTGATTCTATCCCTCTGTTAATGCAGCACAGCACTGTGTTGGCTTTTTTGGCAACTGCAGCACACTGCTGGCTCATATTTAAGTGATTGTCCACTAGGACTCCGAGATCCCTCTCACAGTTACTACTGTTGAGCAAGTTACCCCCTGTACATTTGGTTTTTCTTGCCTAAATGTAGAATTTAATTTAATTTAATTTAACAACTGTAGTGATTCACTTAATAAATGTGGCAAGAAAATTTGTAAAATGGGGCAAAAATTAACAAATTTCTCACTTAGCAACATAAATTTTGGGCTAATTGTAGTCATAAGTTGAGGACTACCTGTATTTTGCACTCATCACCACTGTAACTGAGTCCATCCACCTTGCAGTTGGGAATCCTCTCCTCTTTCCCTCCATTTTTACCAGCATTAGAGGCTTCTCTAGGGAGCTAGATATTTGCATAATGTGTCTTAAGTAATATAATTTGAGTCTTTTGTGTCTTGAGTGAGAATTCTGAGATGACCCATTTGTTTTCTTGGCTCACCATGGTATTATCAGAATAACAGAGTTGGGAGGGATCTTGAAGGTCTTCTAGTCCAACCCTCTGCTCAGGAGTTTTGTCCAACACCAAATTTCAAAACCACCAATAGTCTTCCTATCCTGCTTCTTCAAACTCTACTACTACTACTATTATTATTAATATAGTTCATTGCAAAGTCAGCCACATATTTAAACTGGAGTTGGCACTTTTATCCATCTATTGAGCCTTGCCATATTATTATTCCTTAAGAATTGTTTTATTATCTCCTTTCCCTATTCTAGTGGTTATCTTATTCCTATAAGTAAAGGATATTCTAGGCCATTAAGCATCCCTACAGTCTAGAAGCATCTCAAGATACTACATTCTTATACATTATTGTAAGAAATGGCATATGAAAATTATGTTTATGAAAATGAACACTGGAATAAAGTAGTCTTCTTGTTCAGTCTTGCCTACTTATTCCGAAATCAGTCTTCAGGTTTTTTCTTATGAAAAATCTGTTACTGCTCTCCCTACAATATAAATATTGCACCTTTTTCTCCTTAACAGATTTTTTTATGAAATAAAAATAAAAATTGTAGGGAGTCTGACTTTGTCTTCTACTGCCATAAAACTCTGAATGGGGCAAGGCAATCTATAAGCTACTAAAAGTCTCTTTCCAATAACCTTTAACTGGCTGAAAAAGTGCATCATAGGGCTACAATGTTTGAACCAAAGTACCTCAAAGGAGCTAACTTACAGAAAGTGTCCAAGATCTAGGACACAGGATTCTCAAAGAATTGAAATTTGGCAGATTTTATAAAACATTTTATGATATAAAGGTTAGCATAAAACAGTTTATGACATAGTACAAAACGTCACAAAACATTTCCTGTTCTGTTGTTTGACTGTGCTGTACATTTCAACATGGGCTACTTCCAAGGTAGATATATCTCTGAATGTATCCAAAATAATCATGTTGCCTGAGCCAATTCTGTCTGGAAGAGGCAGTGTTATCTGTTCTTTGGAGCCAAGCCACAGTGCTATCTGTTCTTTGGGGCTTTCTGGGCAACAACCAGCACTTAGGGGATGATTGGAAGCCAGCACAGAGCTTAAAGGACAGGCGTCATCTGTTCATGGCAGCAAATTGTGTCCCAACAGATATGGAAAAAGCCAAGTTAGGGAAGTCAGCAGTCAATCATCTCGTCCAATCACTTAGCCAACACTCCCACAAGGGTGCATGCAGGCACACAGAAACACATCAAATGTTGTATATGTACAAATGATGCTGTAATTTATTTTTTAGGCTAGAGAGAAAATATTTCTTGGCACAGATAGCCTCGCCTCACAAGGTGAGTCAACAGCTGCAGATGATTCCTGTGGAAGAGGCTTGCCAGAAGATGGAATGAAGGGATCCCAGTCCATTAAAGAAGAGACCAAAAGTCAACATATGGGTGTGTGTGATAAATTATAAAAGAGGGCTGTTTCATAGGGAGATGAATGACTTATTCAAGAACCATTATTCTGGGGTATAAGCTATATTGAGTATTTCTTGCATGATTGGCATAATTTAGAGATGAGGCCTTGTGATAGACTGTAAGCAGAAAAATGCATGCCCAGCTGTCTTAGATCTACACCTGGGCTTCTGTCCCATCTTTGTCCTTCCTGTGTCCTTCAATTTCTTTGCGTATTAAAATCTGTTCCACATTGATACACATTGGCAGCTATTCCAGCATAATTCTTGAGATGGGCATGGAAAGGGTGCTCTTGGGCAGAATGGCTGGTGGGTTACTATACCAACAAACTATCTGAAATTGTTAGATTGCCAGACTGACAGTATTGCTGATGCGCTATACGTGCACAAACTGCAACACATAGAATAAGCAATAGCACTTAGACGTATATACCACTTCACAGTGCTTTATAGCTCTCTCTAAGCAGTTTACAGAGTCAGCATATTGCCCCCCCTCCCCTCCAACAATCTGGGTCCTCATTTTACCAACCTGGGAAGGATGGAAGGCTGAATCAACCTTAAACCAATGAGGATTGAACCCCTGGCAGTCGGCAGAATTAGCCTGCAGTACTGCATTCTAACCCCTGCGCCTCAGGGCAGTAATGTACAAGAAGATTAAGCAAAACCAAAAGTAGAAAAACTACAACTGGGCAATGTGGATAATACTGTTTAATTACATGCATGTACAAAAGAGTGTTTGCGTTGGCTTGAAAGTTTCATTTGCTAGTTGGTTTTACTATAAACCAAACTGTCTGGTAGAAAGGGTAAATAAAATTAAGATTTTTTTTGGGTGGGCATGGGAGGAAAGGGCAATAAAACTATAGCAACTTAAAGATCCAAATTAGCTGAATTAATAGGAAAAAAGGTTATGATGTAACATTTTTAAAAAAATGAACTTGAAATATTTTAAGGCTGTTTTGAGATTGAAGGGAAGAAAAAGATTCCCAAGAGTACTGTAATTTATTCTTTTCTCCTTCTTTTTCTAACTCTCACCCCCATGCATTCAAGTACTCTAAGTGAAAATATGTTAATTAATGTTCATTTAATTAATTTGAGTGACTGAAAATACGAAAGAAAAAGCTGATTAATCATTCTCTCCCTCCACTTAAAAACAATTGAAATATTTAGGTGCTATTAAGCTAGAAACAGAAAGACAGACATCATCAGACATTTTGGAAGAACTTCGGATGCAAGGAATAATCAAGACTTCATGTCCGGCCACTAAAAACAGAACTGCAGATGATGCCATGGTAAGGGTTCTTCAAAATTAGTTCAGTATACTTTAAGTTTGAGATGATGTTTTGAATGTAACCTATGAATTACTCCAGAAATGGATCTTTCTTCTAGGTGAGAGAATTGATGTTTTTTTCTGAAGGTTCCATTTCTTCCCAGTTTCTCCTTAAATTTGAAACTCTTCCCAAAACAGCTTTGTGATCAATTTCCCCCCCCCCCCCACTTTAAAAATACAGTTCCTGGGATGTTTACAGACTTTCAATTCCATGTAACCAAACAGAACACGTTGGCCTGAATTAATAGCATGCTGGGGGCACGGTGGCCTAGTAATTAAGATGCTAAGCTTATCAATCAGGTTTGCAGTTGAAAAGCTAAGTACTATATGATGGGGCGAGTTCCCATTCTTGCCCCAAGTCTTGCCCGCCTAGCAGTTCAAAAACATGCAAATGCAAGTAGATAAATAGATACTATTTTGGTGGGGAGGAAACAGCATTCTGTGAGCCTTGGTGTATAGTCATGCTGGCCACATGACCACAGAAGCATCTTTGGACAACGCTGGCTACCTTGGCCAAGAAACCGGCATGAGCACCGCCCCCTAGAGTCAGACACAACTAGACAGGGGAAACCTTTATCTTTACACTTTTAGGAAATTCTTACAGCCTGCTTCATGCTAGTACTAAACATAAATCTCCTATGAATTCATGTCCTGAGACTGGGGATTAGCTGATTAATATGTAGAATAGTATATTACTTGAACACCAAACACTAAAATCACATTGATTTTAATTGCAATTTGTTGAAACAAACTAGCTTCATAAACCCAGTCTGAAGTTGGTCTATTTCAAATAAATAAATAAATAAGATTAACTTTGTGGGCTGGAATTAAACTATACACAAAGAAAAAAAATAGAAACTAACTATTCTAAGTAGAAAGTAAACATTCTAGCTTTCGCAAACATGATGAAGAATTAAAAGGGAGAGAATGGTACCAAAGAAAATCTAGTTCAGTGGCTTTTATAATGAAATTTATATCTGACTTGCAAAAAGCATGATTAGCTTCTGGTAATTGCTTACACGAATGTACTCAAACTTGCCAAACTAATGGCCTATCTTACCGATATTTATTCTGAATTGAATTCTGATATATCTATTTTTAAAATATGCTTTCAACTTTCAAACTGGTCAAATGTCAACAACAACCACAAAAATACAAAGCCATGATAAAAACAATAATGCTGGACTGGTTCATTACATAATTTAAAAAAAAAATCTGTGAAAATGTTCAGCATATTCTAAAACTGCATTTCAAATCATAGGTATTTGTGGGAAGGTTGCAAATAATAACAAATGTGTGTTGCAATCCTCTTGAGGTACAAGCTCCACCATTTTCACACTTTCAGGCAATGTCCCAACAGTATAAAAAGGTAGAGCTAGGATAGTAACATCACACACCATCATTATTTAACCAGTTACTATATAAGCCTTGATGATGCTAGGTAAATGGAACTAGTGCTGCAATAAACATACATGTAAACGAATTTGCAATGAATTTTAATTAATATAGCAAGTACAAGCATCCATAACAATATTTCTGAAATTTTTGCTATACCACCACAAATGAAAGAAAATTTCCTCATGATCATATCAGAGTTTACAATGCTGTGGAAAAAAAGGAACTATTAATTATCACAGTGCAATTAACAAGCATCACGTTAAATCAATGGAATCAATAAGTTTGTATCTCTATTAAAGCGGTATTATGTATATGTGCTCCATTTTATCTCTAAATGTTATTCTGTAGTCATTCTTAATTCCTCTCCCAAATTATGATGCAGAGAACTGAACTAGAATAGGAACAAACCTTGCAAAATACTGAGAGAGAAGTATGCAGTTATTAGGAAGATTTTAGTGAAAAAAAATCCTTCTTAAAATAAATACAAACACTGAGATATAAACAAAGGTTTATTTGTGCAAATAGGAAACAGAAAGAAAAAGAGAAGTGATCACATACACATTTAATAATGCAAATCTGGTTTAGCTAGTATCTTGTTATCTGCTGGAATAAGAAGTTAGATTTTGATGTAGTTTAGTGTTCTGCAAACTATCTTATTTTCTGATTAGGTTTTATTAAGAAAATGTTTAATAATGAAAATAACAACTTAGAAAAAACATATAGTAATTTTGTCCAATAACTTGATATTCATCATGACTTTTGTTGATCTGATTTAGCAAATCAGAAAATTACTTAGTGTTTGTCCTCAACTTTTCAATGATCTGTGCTTGAAGTATAAAATGTCTAAATGTCTAAATACTGCACAAACTAACTTAAATTTAGAATATGTATCTGGAAATTAAAGATGAGAATACAATTTTTTCTGTCATGATACTAATTTACTAGGCATTCAAAGTGACACTCTTGAGCTGTATCAGAATCTCAAATGTTAGCCATCATCACCTTTTAGAGAGTATAATAAATTTTAAACCCAGATGTAACATTGTAAAACTGCAAATTACAAGGGCTGAATGAAAAGTAATGCCTCTAATGTTGTAACATCACCAACAGATGGCAGTATGATGTGTCCGACTGTGTTGAGCATTTGTTCTTTAATTTCAGTTGTCAGGAAATTGCTAGGAGAAAAATGTTGTGATGCTTTTGTTCATGAAATGGAAATCTGCAGTGAATATTAGTCACTGTGCTTTAAGCAACATGCCATGATTGAATTTTTAACTGCTGAATTGTCCTTCCAATTGAAATTCACCATTAATGCAGATTGTTTATAATGATCACTGGGTTGATGTGCATACTATGTGTCATTGAGCCAAAAAAATGTAAAGGTGGTGAATTGAGAGGAGTTAATTTGTGTGATTATGGATAAGTGGATGACATATGACTGCAACTAAGAGGATTAATTTGAAAAAGTTCGATAAACTAATTAAAGACAATAGGTAGATTACGCAAAGGGAATTACTGTCAAGCTTAGCATTTCACAGAACTGTTCAGATTGCATTATTGATGTTCCTCAATATCAAAAGAATTGTGCTGGTCTGTGACAGTAATAAAGATTGGATTGAATTGAATTGAAAAGTACTGTGCAAAATAGGTTACTTGTGTGCTGATAGCAGAAAGGAAACAAACTGGAATTTGCCAGAAATTGTCATGCCATCAGAAGAAGGAGACAAATTTCTTCACAGCACTGTCCAGTCTATGAAACACCATCATTATGACCCAAAAATGAAGCCTCAGTCTATGTTACATCATCACAAAACTCAGATGTGAGGGAAAAAAATCAGAAAGCCAAAGCTTCAAGATTACAGTTTTTTTGAAATGCAGATGATATTATTCAAATGGATTTCCTGAGCTATTAGCTCAGACCACTATGCTGTAATAGTCAAAATTTTAAAACAACAATTAAGCAAAGTTCTGAAGGATAGGAAGGAAATTGTTTTGTGGTGTGAAAACAACAGACCTCAAGCCTCTTAAGCTACCCAAGAGGCAATTGCAAAGCTGAATCTTATTGTCTTAAACTATCCAATGCTCCATCCAATTTAATGTCATGCAAGTTCCATCTTTTCCTAAAACTGAAGTAAAACCTTCCTGGGTATCTATTTGATTAACATGAAGAGGTAGGAAGGATTGTCAGGACCTAGTTGAGGAGACAAAGTAACAAATAACAATGATTATGTGGAGAAATAAATACAGGTAACAAAAGAGGTCATTTCAAAAATTATTTTCCTGGTTCATGTATTAAAATATCCATATTTAATTAAAGGTATGTAAGTGGTGGCATTACTTTTTATTCAACCCTCATAAATATCACTGAGTATCTATGGAGAGTCTCACTCATCCAGGTCATAGTTATCCCAAAGTTGCTTCTTCATGAGGCAACTGGACTTTCTTTGAAGACTTTTCACTTCTTATCCAAGAAGCTGCTTCAGCTCAGAGAATTTGTATTTTCATGTAAATATAGAGTAGAACAGCCTGTTTTCTTTTAAAATACAATATCCCCTTCACTAATTATCTTGTATTTCCACAGCTGGTACCTGCAGAAAGGACAATACAAAAACCACCAGCCAAACTGGAAAAGCTAGAACTTAAACAGAAGAAATTGCATGCTTTATCAATAGAACACCCTGAAGATAAGGTAAAAAAAATACCTCACCTTATATTAACATTTGCATATCTAGTAATCAAGGATACATTAAATAGGGAAAGCCCTAGACTGTCCTAATCCTCAGCAAGTATGTTATAAAATGCTGTAAAATACATCCCCCGGTTTTATTTACCGAAGATTGTAGAACTGGAGGTTTTCAATAGAAAGGTGACTCAGCTCTGCTTCTGCATACGTCTGAATCAGAAGAATGTGTACATATTCCAAACCAGTGCCTGGATGAAGTGATCAGTAGAAGAGGGCAATAAACTGGGAATGATTTTCAATAAGTCAGAAGTTTTGGGACTGGGTGGGCCCAAGTTTCAGGAAAGGGGAGTTGACTTGCTCTAATGAGACTGCACTCCTAGTCAGTGCGGCTTGTGAAAGCCGGGTTGCTGACTGGGGCTTGAGGATGCTTTTTGTGAGTCAAACAACTGCATGGAGTGCCAGTTACCAAGTCAAGGCCAACATCTTGATTTTAACATGCAAGGCCCTAAATAACTTGGGATTGGCATACCTGTCACACACATACTTTATCTGCTGTTATCACTAACATTAGAACTACTGAATGCCATCTAGGAGATGCAGGTTTCTGAGATGTTGTCCATAATTCAGAAGATTCTAGTCTCTGAAACTACGGAGGTGTTTCCTATTACTATTTTAAAGCATCTGTTGAAACATTCAGCCAGGCTGCTCTGCCATAAATGTTACAAGAAAGCTTCCTCTGCATTTTCATTATGTTTTAATTTTTGTTTAAGATTACTTCATATTGTTTTAAGATGTTGTTTATTGTACATTTTACTGCTGATTTGACTGAAAATGCTTCAGAAGAGAAAGTTATGTAAAAATAAATTAACTAGATTAAAATAAATCAATAGACAGAGATCAGGTTAGGCTCTTTCTCTGTAACCCCACTAAGTATTCTCACAGGCTGACTCCATCCATATTAGTAATTTCTTAATTAGGGCCAGTTTTGCGTGTGCATGTATACGTGTGCCTGTGCACAAGTGTGTGTTTGACGCTCAAAAATGTGTTATAGCCTAAAGACTTGTCTCTTTTTAGACAAGAGAAGAGCAACTGAAAAAGGAATTGCTGATTGATAGATCATCACCAATAATTTCTCCTGAAAAGAGAGTGCAGATAGGCAATTCTATAATTACAACACCTCCCAATAGTTTTCAATTGCCACCCTTAAGTGTGGGAACAGAAACTTGGACAGAGAAGGAAGAACTGGATGAAAATATAAACAATGGTTTTGAGGATTTTACAATGGTGGAATCAGACATAACGTATAATACAATTCATGGGGTATTTTAATCACCAACATTTGTATGAAACATTTTGATCTCTAACCAATTTAATTTAATACTGTTGCTACCAATAAAGGCTACTGGACTCTGAAATATCGGATATTCTGTTTTCTGAGCTGGCCTATGGGGTTTTCTTCTCCTTCCCTTTTTAAATTTTAAAACAAAAATAAAATAACAGTTCAAGGCTGTGCCCTGGATTTGCTTCTGCATTAGCAAATCTCAACCGAAGGCCCACAAAAATGCCATGAAAATTAATCTTTGCCCCATGGAACTCTGGCTTAGCTTTTTTTAAAAATAATAAAAAATAAAAATGTTTGTGCCATCTTATTAAAAGGAATGATGCCATCCCCCAGATTTTAAGATTTTTTTTTTCTTTATAGCCCATCTGAAAGGGGAAGGACAATCAAGTCATCATCTTTGCATTCTTCCAATGTAACCAGTATTACAAATATATACAAATAGCACACATATGAATATCTATCAATGGGACTGGTTGGTATTCAGTTGGCATTATGTCCATCGCACAATCTTCATTCCAGATAGGGAATGTAAATCTCCCTGGCTGGTTTCTCTGTTGACCAAACAATCAGTACGTGTCTTTTCTTTTAGTTCTTCCTTCCTCACCAGTTCCTGTGATTTTCCTTTGCTGCTTGCAAATATGGAAGCTTTCATACACCCCTTTCCAATACTATATCCTTTGAAAATATTGCAGATATCCCCCTCACTCTTTTCCCTATTTTACGGCAACATAGTTGCTCTAATGCTATAATAATCAAAGCAACAGAGGACTAGGTTGTTCTTTCATTCCTACTTTCCTCTGAAGATCCAAGAAAAATTTGTATAAAGAAAGGAAGAACTGGTAGTTCTCTTTCAGAGAATACAGAACTACCAGTTCTTTCTTTCTACAGGTTTTTAAAAAGGGAAGCAAGCAAGATTATGAAGAATGTAGAGGACATAACAGATCAGGACAAAATGGCTGTCAAGGGCAATGACCCGTTGCCAAATTGGAACAAAGTGCTCAAGAGTTTCCACTCTTAAGGGCTTAAGATGTCATTTTCATGTCAGAAAATAGCAGTTTTGAACTGAAGCTGGAAAATAAAGATATGTGGAGCATTTGCAATGGGCTGGGAGTGAGAATAAAACAATGTCAGCTATTCCTACACTCAGGGACAATAACTGCCCCATGCTGGTCATGGGCCAGGCAGCAACTGTAGCTCTCTTTGGAGTATCATCAATGTCAGGTTGCTCTGTTCAATTTCCATTCTCATATTGCACTGTCTAACATTTTTGCCAGCCCAGACTTGATGATTGCAAGATTAAAGCACAATAAATAGTGTCCAACAATATTTAAATATGAGTCCTTGATCCTTGTGACCACATACTTGAGTCCCAGCTTCTTTCCAAAAGAATAACTATAAAACTGAACATAGTGACCAGCGGTTGCTGACAACTGCTTGAATGCCTTGCCTATACCTACAGTAGTTGATTCTGCCAGGGACAACAACAGGATCAAGAGAGTCACAATCATATAATCAATACATATAAAAAGGACAGGTCTTTGATCACATAGTTGTGGCTGCTATTATGACTTTTCTTTTACTCCCTTGTACACCTCCCTGGATCCTGCCCAAAAACAGTAGGTGTGTGCAGGGCTTTTTTTCTCATAGAACGCCCAGAACAGAATTCCGCACCTTTTTTGGATGAAACCTTGTAGGGTAGGCAAGGCGGGTTGTATGACGTGTGTGAGTTCTGGCACCTTTTTTTTTTTTTTTTACAAAAAAAGCACTGGATGTGTGTATGTCTCTGTGTAGATCCAGTAAACTAAAACCCAGATTGTCTAGCACTATATTTCTTCTTTCTGGTTATCTGAAACTCTAAACCAGAACAGGGAAAGGCAAAGTGTGATGGGAGGCAAATAGAGGCATTTTTTCAAGCTGTAAGAATCAGAAAATTAGAGAACAAATCTTCTCTTACTGTCTTGGGTTGCAGATCAAGAAATCCAATTAAAATCCAGTCACTCTATGAATTAGTGGGCTCACTTAAAGCTTTGACATAGTTCTATCCACTTCTCCTCTTCCCCCCCCCCCACGCCCCTGCATAATATGGAGACTAAAGCTATCAGTTTAGCTGTCCTCTTCCCAAGAGCTGCACGTAGCCTTCAAGAGATAGGCCAGCATTCAAATACCTGAATTGAGCCACATTCAGAAATTTTACAGGGCCACATAGAAAGCAGCCGGATCCACTTTAAAGGCACAAAACATTCAATGCTCTCATTGTGTGAAGTTTCAAGGTTGTACTTGTGTACAACTCTCCAAATGACTTTGGGCTACTCCCAGCCTAGCATATAGGGTTGCTTGTGGGGAATAAAACAAAGGGAGAGTCTAAGTCACTTTAAAGTCTTAGGAAAAGGCAGGATATAAATGAAAAAAATAAATAAAGCAGTTATGCTATGCCTGTCACAAGACATGTAGCAATCACCTCTCCAGGGTATATGCTCTTTTTAGACAGTGCAAATATAGCAACCATATTATACGCCACCTCGGGCACCATGATTGCCTCAACCCAATTTATCCTGCATAAAATACCATATTTATTACTGAGTTCATTGTGCTAGCAGAACAAATGGTTGGAGGATTTGCATATACATTTTTCCTAGAACTTCATTAAGTAAAACAAAATTCAGAGGAAGATTATGATGAAGTTTATTTCTAAAAGTGAGGATTAGTATATTCAGTTAAGAATGGGAAAACAAATCCCACATCACTCTGAAATTGGCTTCTAGACAGTATTTATCTGTCAGTATTTATCTAATTACCTAGTTGGATTGTTGCAAAGGTAAAATAAGTTTATTAAAATGATAAAATATTGGTAAGACACATTAGCAATAAATAAATGTTGCCTTGCTTATTACAGGATATAAATGTAACAAATAAATAATTCATTGTTTTATGATATAATAATACTGTCACCTATATTTTGAGGCATCACACATTCTTAAATTATGATTTAGCAAGTGTTGACATAGATCATCTGTACCAGATCAGTCCAACTGTTTGGAATTCTATTAGCTCAATGTTGAGTAAATATTTTAGAAATAAATATTATTAATCAGCAAAATGAAAGAATAAAATTAAATTAAATTATGATCTTCCCAAAGTATCATTCATTCATATACAAATCCATATCCCCACACTTATTTCAAGAACAGTATGTTCCATATTTGAATTGAAATAAGTCCATGCATAAAGAAACAATATTCATTCATTCAGTGTCTCTTGGAGCAGTATATGTAGTGCAGAAAAAAACAACACAGTAACATATTATACAGTATTTGAAATATAAAGGAAAAAAACTATGATGAAGTATTTGGATAGAAACATAAATGAAACAGCCTAGTGGTTTTTGCACATGCTCAAAAGTCTCTTGAAGCCATATAGTTCTAAAAGTTTCATTGAAACCACGTGGGAAAATGCCTGAGGATTGTTTTGTTTGAGCTCCACCCACTCCCCATTTAGTACTCTAAAAGAAGGTATGATTTATTATTTGAATGTCAGAATACCATCATTTCTTTTAAGCATCTTGTAACCCTGTGGGCCATCTCATTTGTTTCCTTTAAGAGCTACTTCAAGAGGGCAGCATGCTGGGAAGACTGAAGTCAAGTAGGATCAAGATGAAACTGCAGGAAGAGTTCATTAGGACTCTGTGAAAATTATGGGTGGGTGGGGGGAATCACAAAAGCAAAGTTTGCCTTCCTAAGATGACAAATCTATAAAATAAAATCACAGAATATTATTTGTGTGGAGCAGTGATAAATGTGTTTGCTTCAATTTATACTTTCTTCCCAAGTTGGTCCAATGATGAGACTGGTTGAACTTCAACCATAAGTGGAAGAGTGGGAAAGATTTAAGTGAAAAGCGACTAACTTGGAGAGAGAAAAATAAAACTGAATAAGCCAACAACAGAATTTTACAAGGGAATATGCCTGGTTGACTGGCATTTTAAACAGCAACATTTCATACCAGATCATCTTATTGCAGAACCTTTTGCAGCCACAAGATGCTGCACATGTGTGTATGTGTGTGTGTGTTTCCTTTATTTTCAATCCATGACTTCAATCTGGTCTTCCTGGATTAAAAAAAATTGAACAAAGAAGTGGAAGGACCTCTCTCTCTCTCTCTCTCTCTCTCTCTCTCTCTCTCTCTCTCTCTCTCTCTCTCTCCCTCCCTCCCTCCCTCCCTCCCTCTCTCTCTCTCTCTCTCTCTCTCTCTCTGAGTTAAGATGATGCAAGCTACATAGTTCCCATTGTGAGAAGAACAGTAAAAACTACAATTTAAATCAGGGACTGATTCTGAGGTAGACACAGGAAATGCTGAGTGGATTTGAGAATGGGCTCTAAAATAACAGTAAAAGAGGCATTTTTTTATTTTTATTTTTTTGATGGTGGTCTCTGTAGAGAGTGAATTGGCTGGCAGGCAAAGAGATTAAGCGGTGCATTTCTGCTCAACATCTGAACATCACATAATTCTATACAAATTTCAGTGAGCTTTTGTCAAGGAAAACCAAAGGAAGATAACTAGCATCCCTTTAAAACAGTTTACAGCTTGATAAGTGAGAATAGTGTAAGAGTCTTCCTTAGCCTGATGGTTGGAAACTGAACAGAAGTACTTCTGCTGCTGGTTTTAGCTACCTAAATATTTCCCAGGAAAGCCTGGGCTGCGGAGAGAATCTTCACATGAGGTACTTTTCCTGACACAAAGATTAATCCTGGTTGTTAGAAAAGCAATTTTTCCTACTCTGAAATGTTGTGGTGATATTTTTTTTTATTTTTAAACTGGGATAGAAAAATATTTTATATCATTTACAGTATGTTTTGTATTTTTTCCCACTGGGTATAAACAATAAACAGCCTAACAAGGTTTTAGATGGAACTTCATTCTTATAAAGGAAACTATATGCATACATTCAGGTGTTATGTAGGCATTATAATTATTTTAAACCACATTTTCATCCACAAAAGCAAAAGGATTTCAGGATGGCATGTATGAATTGAAAATAAATTTCAGTAATATGAATAATTTATTAAGTACTGAATATTCAGTTTAGAAACAACCAAAAGTATTAGTCAGGAAAAACAAGCCAAAACAATGATTTTAAAATACTCGGGCAGATTAGAAATGAGTTGGGCTCAACAAAAAAGCAAAATCATTTTAGTTTTAGTACTCCCTCAAACTGGGAGACCACCACAAAAGAGGCCCTGTCTTTTGTAAAACACAATATACTCCTGGAGAAGATCTTCTTGAATGCAGAAGTAGGATGGTAGTGAAGATGATGCTAATTTGGACATAAAACATGTGTTTGCGGTGACAGATGATTAAACCCATGTGTCTCTAGATAAAGGGAGAACATTGGTTTAGCTACCTTATAAGCTCACTCCCCTATTACCTGCCCTAGCTTTCTTGAGTAAGCAAGGAGGGACAAATTTAACACATAGCTCAACCTCTGCTCCTCCTTTGTAGTCTGAGCAGCCATACTTTCTGGGATTTTTTTTTTCTAAATTGGCCAAGACACCAGGACTGGAATGCAAAACTAAGACAGTTCTAGTCAAACTGGGATATGTGGGTTTAAAGCTTTCAAGGTACGGTAACTCTCCAGACCTTAAACTGGGTTTGGTAGGAGATCAAGTTCAATGTAATTCCTTTGGAATTATGGCTCCATAAAAACAAGCCTAACCAAATTCTGCAATCATTGAGGCCTCCAACATCTTTCAAAGGGGGCACACACACTTACATCACACTAATGCAACCTTTTTAGATTCATTTGGCATTTTTCACAGAGTAGCTAAATTATAACCTTTCTGGACAGAAACCATTGGAACTAATGGAAGTAAATGTTTGATCATTGCACTACATTAGAAAATAGCTTCCAGGGGTGAATTTTCTCTTGCTTCAAGCAATCACTACATCTCTGATATAATTATGACAGCAGGGCTCTGCTTGAATGCCTTTGGCAATGTTTTTAGACCACTAACCAAGTACAGCTTTGTACCTGAAAAAAGCAGACATGTCTTACATGTGAAGTATTTAATTTGGCAGACAAGATATAACTCCCATGATCCACACATATCTATTCTGTGTTAATTCCAAAATGTGAGCTTCTAGGTTGCCTTAAAATAGATCTTACAAGAATGCTTGAAATGGCCTGCATCTGTCAACAAGTGATAAATAACATTGTGGGTGTTAAAAGCTCACCCAGAATACTAGTCTAGAAGAAAGACATCAGGTTACCATTTGGTCAGCAATTTAGAGAACATTCACAACTTTCTGAAAAACAATTTCACCATATTTTGTAATATATTTACCAGTATAATATTTATTATCAGTGGAACTACATTCATATTATTGAATATATAAATCTCAAGCATTGCACAGCATACAATTACTTAAAGGACAAAAAAACAGCAATTATTTTTATTTTAGGTGAGAGTTCTATCTAAAGTATTTTGCAAATTCCAGAATTTTTTGGGGGGGGAGAGAAATTATAGACTCCTTAAATATAATAAATAAAATGCATTAAGATTTTATTTATCATATTTAATAATAAATTTATTGTATTTATAATAAATAAGATGTATTAAATTCCATAACGCCAGTTTGATATAGCAGTTAAGGCATCAGATAGAAACCTGTAGATCTTAAGTTCTACTTCTGATTTGACCACAAAGCCAGCTGGGGTGACTTTGGGCCAGTCACTTTCTCTCAGCCCTAGGAAGGAGGCAATACCAAACCACTTCTGAAAAACTTTGCCAAGAAAACTGCAGGAACTTGTCCAGGCAGTCTCCAAGAATCAGACAGGCTTGAACAGAGGAGAAAAAAAATACAGTACAGTACACTAACATATCTTGATAACAATCTTTTCCATCTAAATATGTTAGGATCCAGTCTTCAAAATTTCCATTTGGCCTGCATATTCCATCGTAACTTGCAAAATTTTAAGTTGGGAAGTTTGAGTTAAGGAAAGAGAAATATGTAGATGTTGTTATATCTCACAATCTGCATCCAACCAGAGATAAGCAAAAGTTTCACCTATGCTATATTCATGAAAAAAATAACATATCATTTTTTAAAAAATTGATCCAACTTGTACAAGCAGACTGAAAGCATTGTCAAAGTATGTTCTGGGCTTTGCTCCATGTTTGCTTGTACAAGTCCACTAGCAGTTATGATATTCCCATGATATATAGATTCAATGTATATAATTTCTTATTTTTCTTGCCAAATCTATTCCTAATGAAATCATTAGTTTTCTGCATGGTAAGACACATTTGTTTATCATTTTATTGGGATTATGGTTCTGCATTGTTTAAAACATCTAGCCCAGGAGTGTCAAACTCGGAACGTCACATGATGTGTCGCGACATATTGCGACTTTTTTTCCATTGCCGGCAATGGGATGGGTGTGGTTTCGGCACGATGCATGCAGCCTGTGGGCCGGCAATTTGACACCCCTGCTCTAGTCTAAAGATTATTCCAATTTTCCAGAGAATGTTAAATCAGGGATAGAATATAAACATTGCCAATAAAGTTTTTTAAAAATTCAGAACATTCTCTGAATTTCCCCTGTAAAAGAGTTGTTTAGTCTCATGAAATGAAAAATGCAATTTACTAAAGAACAAGTCTGGGACAAAAAAAGTCACTCATATACTTAGCTATAAATTCTTTTCTTCAGAAAGGACATAGTGGGCAAGTTTTGCAATTATGAAACTCATTTAAGAAAGTACAATTTGCCTCTTTATTGTATTAAGCCATGTTGTTACTTTAAAACTGCTTGTAACGAAGATCAGGTTGTACAAAGTAGGTTGAAACACATATCCTTGAACACCAGCATCTAATTCTGAAAAAAGGAAAAGGGAAACTTCTTGTTACAGCATTTTCCATCTACCATAACAATCTATCCTCCACCAGACAAAGCAGAATTGTACAATGCCTCTGACAGGAAAAAGGGCAACAGATGAAGCTTTCCTGTGCTAGAAGAAGCATAGCATAGTCCATTTCTTGCCATATTATGCTTGAACCAAGGCCCAATGCTGCAATAGGCCAAGAAAAGGGATCTGGGTCACAAGGCTGCAACTTAAGTTTGCATACTTGCATCAGATATCATGCTGTAAGGCCAGATTGATATTATGGCATCATAAATTATCATATTTCTTTTTTTTTTACATCATCAATTTGTATCAGACATTTATGTAATCACCTATCTTATCCAGGGAAGTTGTGCAGGATTCCATTCCTTCAAGAAGAATCAAGTTTGCAGTCCAGGAGTGTTGATAAATACAAATTGGATACCAACGTACTAAGTGATTATCTATAGCCAAAGTTCCCTTTGGTAACTAGAGAGAGGTCTATTATGTGAGTTCTCCTGGACAGACACTATTACAGAATCTCTGACTGGGAATCTTGTTTGTCATTACAAAAAGTGCCCTATGTTAGATTTCCTTTGAAAGATTCTTAGAGATTGGTCAACGTTCTTTAACAATGTCTCTCAGTTCATTTCTAGATACTTTCCAAAGAGTTGAGGTTAACTTTTACAGTACCTTTTACCCTTGTATAT